CAATATCCTTATGTCCCATCACTGTTTTGTTTATTTAGGTCCCAGGAGCATAAAAAAAAATCAAACTCCAAAACTGTAGCCAAAATAGTTTCCTTTCTTCAGTTTTCCTCAAGATAACAGGATAGTTACTAAGATTGACTTAGTCTGGCAAAAGGTGAAAATGAAATGCAATAAGGTTAATAGGAAGATTGTGTTGCACACATATTCCAATCATGAAGGGTTTCCTACATTGAAAATCATGCCATTTGAAACACTGGCTTTAAATAGATAATGCAAATGCATAGCTAATGCAAATTACTAGAGGAATGCATTGAAACTGAAGAAGGGGATTTCTCAGTGTTCAGGGATGAAGGCAAGCATTACCATAATCTGATTTATTCTATAAAGATGAAATAGAATAAGAGAGGGTAATTGGAGGGAGTGAATAGATTCATGTGTTGGGGATGCAGCGGCAAAAGAAAGAGAAAGGCAGGTTGACTTTTATATTTATAAAAGTTAGAAAAGAAGAATGTCGGACTGAATGAGATAAAGGAGAGTAAGAGTGGATTAAAAAGAGAGTAAAGAGAAGAATTGATTATTTAGTGAGATAGAAGAGGGAGTGGGGATAAAAAGATAAGCAAAATGGGAGATAGGAGAGGGAGAGGGGATAAGATAAGCAAAAGGAGGGAGAGGGATAAAAAAAAAGATAATGAGGGATAATAAAAAGATAAGCAAAATGAGGATAGGAGAGGGGGATAAGATAAAAAAAAAGGAGGGGAGAGGGAGTAAAAAAAGATGAGGGGAGAGGGGGAAAAAGATAATGAGGGGAGAGGGAATAAAAGATAAGCAAAATGAGAGTTAGGAGAGGAGAGGGGATAAGATAAGCAAAAGGAGGGGAGAGGGAGTAAAAAAGATGAGGGGAGTAAAAAGATAATGAGGGGAGAGGGAATAAAAAGATAAGCAAAATGAGAGATAGGAGAGGGAGAGGGGATAAGATAAGCAAAAGGAGGGGAGAGGGAGTAAAAAAGATGAGGGGAGAGGGGAGTAAAAAGATAATGAGGGGAGAGGGAATAAAATAAAGCAAAATGAGAGATAGGAATAATAAGATAAGCAAAAGGAGGGGAGGGGAGTAAAAAGATGAGGGGAGTAAAAAGATAATGAGGGAGAGGGGATAAAATAAGCAAAATGAGAGATAGGAGGGAGAGGGATAAGATAAGCAAAAGGAGGGGAGAGGGAGTAAAAAAGATGAGGGGAGAGGGGAGTAAAAAGATAATGAGGGGAGAGGGAATAAAAAGATAAGCAGGAGAGATAGAAGAGTGAGGGGGAATAAAAAGATAAGGAGAGATATAAGAGAGAGAGGGGGGGGGATAAAAAGAGGAAAACAATTATGAAAAAGAAAAAAGATGATGAAAATATAGATGGTGGGAAAATAAAGAAAGCATACAAAAATGCTAATAGAAAATGTTTGTATATCAGTGGTTGTTATCTACTATGGCTGAAGTATTATCATTTCAAATGTGCATTATTTCATTGCTTTCTGCAATTCTGATTCAAGAGGAAGGACAAGAAGAAAGGACAAAAAAAAAGAAAGTCTTTATTCATGAAGACGATGCTTGTACATCCAGAGTCAGAGAGAGAAAGAGACTTTACATTGGTTAACTCTTTAAATCCAATTCATACCACATGGCTATGATAAATGTCTTCTTCTAAGATAATGCTGCAATTTGCAAACTGAACTCCACAATTACTACCAAATAAGATTGTAGTTCAAAGCTCAGGTTTTTTTTACTGAGGCATAGTTTCACGTTGAAATTTTTCAGACTTTATTTCAGCTAAAATTTCTATTTCTGGTAAATAAATATTTCACAGTATCAAAGATGTTATATTTTTCCCAAAATAACTCTCAAAAATTTATCTTGCATCTTACAGCCCAAAGGTTTTCTTTTGTTGTTGTTGTTTTTTTTGTTTTTTTTGTTTTTTTGTTTGTTTGTTTTCTTTTAGTTCATTTTATGTTATTTATTTAGTTTTTCAAAATTTTGCAACTTGGAATTGGAATGCATCCTTGGAGCTGTGAAATATAACAATTATATTAAGTTTAAGAAGCAAACACTTTATCACATTAGTTCATAATATTGTCAATTAGAATTAAATATTTTTATTGCTGCATATCTGTCTATACAATTTCTTTTTGTTTTTTATAAATAAATATATTTTCACTGTGATGGTCACTATATGACTATAACAATGACATGTTCTTCTAAAATTAAAATTTATAAACTGAATAATTGAACAAGTGTTATTTCATATTGTAGTTTGAAAACAAAGCTTTTTATTGATTCATGGGGTAATGGTTAACAAGTTCATATTAAATGAACTAATCCTGAGTAATGAGTTCAGTTTTTACTTGCTGCCCCATATTTATCCATTCCAAATCTAAACAACATTTAGTCAATAAGTATAGACATGTTGGGGCATGATTTGTTGATAGTTTTCATTTTTCTTTAAATACTGTTAATTGATATTCAAAATGGTAACCAAGCTTTATGCAAATTAGATATTTTATTTTTCAAAAATATAGGTTATATGATATTAGCAAGAGAGGAAAGAGAAAAATTGATAATTTAGAGAGATAGAAGAGGGAGTTGGAATAAAAAGGGGGAGGGGATAAAGACGCTAAACAGATGAGATAGAAGGGGGACATTAGCAAATTTTAACTAAATACAATCCACCAGAGAATAGTGTTTACAGATTATTACTACTCAAGTGGTTTTGTGTCATACTAAGCTAAGCTTAGTAAATAAGAGTATGACATAAGAACGTATAAAGTAATATTACAATGAGAAGCTTGTGTTGCACCAGACTTTCTATTGGAAATAACCTACTTTGGAAATCATCATTGGAAATCTTGGATTTTACTTAAATTCTCACATCAAACTTTGTCACCAGTGAGAATTATGCAACCAGCTCTACCATAAGGTAGATCATATGTTGCAACTTTTTGTATCTAGAAGCTGTTCGAAGTGTATCTTAACGTAAACAAATAACATCATATATTATGTCCAACAATTATTTTGATATATTTTCTGTTTATATGTTACCGGAGGGCACATATTTTCTTTGAGATTTATTGGATATTCAGGCGGGTAAATGTTGTTAATACTGTTTATTATAAACAGAGCATTTACTTAAATATTTGTTTCTATAAAAATAATGTATGAATATAGTAAAATATAGAAACTGTAAAATCAATAAAGAATGTGCCACAACTATCTCTGTTCATTATGTCAAAAATTGTGAAAGTTAGGCACAAAAAAAACCCCAAAAAACAAAACATTTCAATAACAAAAGAATTAAACATATCCGCCTGGTATTTTTTGTTGTGCAACTGACAAAGTAACTCACATGATCATGTCCTTGCAAATACAGATATAAATATGGAAGAAAGTAAATCATGATCTACATTAATGTTAAACAACCTCCTCACCCCCCACCACACACCATGACAGTTATTTTTTTTTTTTTTTTAAATGATTATGAGTGTTGGAGTGTAGTGATGCAAAGTAAACAGTGGACACATAGCAACAGATATATCCAATAACAGTTGTCAAATATGGACACATAAGAAAACAATAGAATTACCAACCTTGTTTTTGTTTTTTTGTTTCTTTTTATCCTTTTATCCCAAACAAGGCAATAACCCAACTAAAATGAAAAGGGTTACTGAATGTGAAAGAATATGAGGAAAAGAAAAATATTATTAACGAGAGAGAACAATAAAAGAACAGGAATTAAGAAGACAGAAGATAACGATTGATATCTTGGAAGCTATTGCTTATGAGTTTCTGAACTTGTATCTTACTTTTTTTAGATGCTTACTGTATTATGAGGTTAACAGGCAGATTTTAAAAGTCATTGGTAGTAAGTTATTATCAAGTGAATTACTATTGTGCCTTTGTATTAAATAAAGGCAAGCTTTATAGATAAGTGCACAATATTTTGAGATGTAAGCCCATCCATACTCTTCTTAATACTGGTGTACTGAGTTTTTACAAAATCTGAAAATTTACTATTATTTCTACTGACCCAATCAAACAGTATTTTGAAAAGCTTCCATATTTTGTCTACATTAACAAATTGAAAATGATGATATTCATATTGATATTCATATTGATTAAGCTCTACTTATTGCTGATTATTAATTGGCAAGCTTTATTGGACCATCGAATTACTTTGTGTTCTTATTAGCACAATGTTTTGGCCACTCCATTCTACAGCCTTCTTCAGGTAATGAAAATGAGGACTGTAAGGTGTTCAGCATCAACAATGAAAAAAAACATTCACTTGTTCAAATAAAGCTTAGAATATTATTGAAGCTTCTCAAAAGTTATAGACAATAACTTTAATATATATTCATATGGTCAAACATTTATCAAAATGTGCCACACTTTGTCCTATGATGCCAATTAAAACTGGCAAATTATATTTGTATTGAGAATTAGGTCCCTCAGCAGTATCTCCATATTTCAAGTTAAAGAAAGCCTACATTATTGTCTGTAATTAATGCTGAAATACCAGAAGTATTTTTCTTGAAGACTGTTGTGTCCATATTAAAAGCATATTGCATGCCTGGAGATTTGAATAATTACTGAGACATGCATACTTCTTCCTAGTGACTGGTTACATCTTTTTGTGTACAGCAAACATTATCATTTAGAATTATGATGTCTGTTTACTCTTTCTCTTCCCACATGCCTTGGTGGCATCACAGTGACAAGACAAAGAGGCATGACAGAAAAACTTGATTTTTGCATTTAAAGATGTTACCAAAAAGAAGAAACTAAGTGGCAGTCGCAACCATTGTTCTGAACGGAGACTATTTTTTTTTGTATTTTTATCAGAAGGATAGGTGTCATTATTGCAAAAGAAACATCAGTCAAAAGATTAGAAGAAAATCTATATATACAGGGTGTGGCAAAATGATCTGATGATAAAAACGAAATAGAGTAAAAAAACTAAAAATTAAATCGGTCAAGTGGGTGCCGTTACTTTCCACACACTGTTAAAGGCATACTTGATGGGTCATTTCATGTGAAATGGCATCACTCTCTTGACAAATGTCATCTTTTAATTGTTCATTAAATTGGGAACGATGAGTGTATACCTTTGATTTCAGGTATCTGCACAGAAAAACATCAGATGATTGTGCAGTCCAACACTCTTTTTGTTACCAATTTGTTATTCTTGATAAACTCTTCCACAATGAAAGCGTGATGCTCAACCATCCAGTTTATGTGGGCAGCGAAAAACAGAATGAAACAAAATGGCATTATATGTACATTTTGAAAATAAAAACACATTTTTCGTTCTTTACTCTATTTCACTTTTATTAAAATCACAAATGTATCAGATCATTTTACTGCACCCTCTCTCTCTCTCTATATATATATAGTTCTTGGCTCAACCCACTTTCTCAAACCTGAAGAAATTACCAAACATAAGCACCTTGTTTTGTTAAGACTTTTCTAGTTGTATTATGAAATCAGCACTCATTTGAAAGTTACTTAATTCTGGTCATACTATGAAATCAGCACTCATTTGAAAGTTACTTAATTCTGGTCATATTATGAAATCAGCACTCATTTGAAAGTTACTTAATTCTGGTCATACTATGAAATCAGCACTCATTTGAAAGTTACTTAATTCTGGTCATATTATGAAATCAGCACTCATTTGAAAGTTACTTAATTCTGGTCATACTCATGAATTGTAACCACAAAGGTTCTGGAATTTTTGTAGTCATTGTAAGGTTGTCGTATGTTTAAAAACCTTGAGAGATAGTTTGTAGTGAATTGATTTGTTGAGTTGTTTATAGATATTGAGAAGAAATATCTCCTTTTTTTTATTTTCTTTCTTTTGCTTAAAAAATGCTGGCTTTGATTTTGAAATTTTTTTTTCATGTGTTCCTCTTGAGAAAGACTAACCAGTTTAAAATATTTTTAAGGATTTAAATTCTTCTCTTTTTTTGTTTACAAAGATGCATCAAAGAAAAATTTTGAAAGACTTGTGTAGTTGACCCCCAAATCATAATAGACAAGGCTATTGGATGGGCGGACAGCCTTAAAATATTATTTTTCTTTTAAAGAGAGAAAAAAGTGTCCATCAACTCAATGACAATAACAGTTTATTAGAAGCTCTCTCTCTGTTTTGAAGAGCAAAATCTATTTCCTTCTTTGAACGTTGTGAAAAATATTGCTTCAGGGCTCTCCACTTATAATCAGGATTATTTAGGAGCAAAAGATTTGGAAAGGCAGCACTAAAATGTCATCATTGTCAGTCAACTGGCGTTCTCTCTATGTCCTTGAGACTGACATCTTGTTTTCACTGTGTTGATGATGTTGTTCCAAACATTAATTTCTTCTTTCGCTTGTGTCTTTCCGTTAATTCCTCCTCAATGATGATGATGACAAGTGGGGGGGGGGAGGAGAAACCCCCCAAAGGCCACATCCCTGCAACACACAAATAACTTTGGGTTCTTCCATTGGGAATTTGACTAAGTGTGAAAACATTTCCTGTTTACATACTTTGGCCAATTCTTTGTGTGTGTTTCTCACTCTGATGCTCTTTAACAATCTCTCTCTCTCTCCTATTCTTTTTTGTTTCCTTCTTTAGTTTTCTTTTTATTTGCTTATTTCTCACAATTGCTTATCATATATATATATATATATAAAGAGAGGGAGCCTGCTACAGAGTAAGGTTTAACATGCTAATCCCACTTATCATTGCTTGTGTACTTTTAAAAAATACTAAGTATGCCACTAATGAGGGTTTGTGACAGCCTAAGGTTTATATGTATGTATATTAATATATATATATATATATATATATATATATATATATATATATATGTGTGTGTGAGTATATGGTTTGCATAACAGCTATTGGTGCAGAAGATGGAAACCCTGAGCCAAAGACAAAATATCCTGAAAATATCCCAATCACTTTTCATACTAATACTCTTGGATAAGGTATAAACTCATTTGTTCTCTGCTCCAGCTATGGATTAAATAGCAAGGTAAACTGTGCTTTCTAAGAGGATAATTCTGTATCAAAACTTATAGATAAGCCAATGGGAAACCACTACTCTGTATTTCTTAAGAAGTCACAGAAAAAAATTCACAGATAATAAAGAAACAAAATCTGTGGAGATCTATGATTGTGAGAATTCCTGAAATGACGGGGTTTTTTGTTTTGTTTTTTTTTTTAATCTATATTAATATATTGCATCTCTCATTATTAACCTCTTTATGTTTTAACAACAATGCAAGACAAATATTTATTGGAATGTAAAGATCAATTTCTTTGAATTAGTATAAAATATTCTGAATTTCAAAGTCTCCTATTAATAAGCATGTTGTTATTTTGAAGCTTGGAAATGGATTGATTTAACAGATAAAAAGAAATGTTTGATAACTTTGTTGTAGCTCTGAGGTTGTGTCAAAAAAAAACACAAGATGTTAGGTCCCAACTTGAGTTGCAAAACATGTGTGACCAATTATGCCTTGTTTCAAAAGTTTCCATAATAACAGTCGAAGGAAATGAGCAACTAAATACACGAGGACCAGTTTTTCAACAGTTTGTTTCATCATTGAATGTTGTGCTGCCTTCAATGGGTCAGATGTATGAAGCAAATGTTGGACGACTACTGATGAACATTTCTAAGGATGTTGAGATGTCAAATTAGAAATGGTGTGATGCTTTAAAGTGTGATTATAATTGGCAAAATGAAAAAAACTCTACAAAAAAATACCTCTGTCTTTATACATGCAGAATTACAGTATATACTACTTCAAATGTTGTTTAAAAATGTTCAATTAAAAATAAGTGCATTAATTATTTCGAAATGTGTGTGCATGTATGAAGTACATCAGTAAGCCTATAGATGAAATAAATATTTATTTTACAATATAAGCTCCTCCATTATACTTACTTTAAAAATGAATGTTAATCAATCATATAGATTGGATATTATAGTTTTAATATTTCAGACTATAATTTGTCAGATTATAGACTTACTGATTCCCTATGTGTGTTTTATAGTTCAGTATATACACTGTTTTAAGAAATATTTCTCATTTATATGAAGGGTAATGTTTGTTGCTTCACAGCTCAACCTTAACCTATTTCTCCTTTAGTCCCATAGACTCCAGTAAGAAATAGGGGGGCCACAGTAAGGCGATTCCATAAGTTTTTACAGGATGAAATTGCTAGCCCCATGCATAACCGGTTTTGTACCCAGTTTTCACTTACCATACGCAGTTTCTAAGTGCCTCTCATCTAAGTACTGATCGGGGTGGAAACTGCTTAACTTTGGTGATCAAATGAGAACTGATGTTACAGAATGATTTGACTGCAAGCATCACAGCACATCGACCTCTATATAATAGTCATATGGTACTAAATCATTTTAAACAATAGTTTGAATTTTCAAATGGTGTCTTGAATTGTAATTTCTCCCTGGTTTGCTCAGTTTCTAATGAGTGAGGTTGTATACTGTGTGACTGTTGCATTTAAAATGACTCAACAAGTAGAATTTTCACTTTTTTTTTTTTTTTTTTGCAAAAAATGAAGTCACCCTGTTCTATACTAGAGATTTGGCTTTTAGTTCCTTGTTGCAAATGTTTGTTTTATCACTCTTAAAATACCAAGGGGTGAAGGTGAAAAAGAATAGGATAAATCTTTTGATTATGATCCCAAAAGAGTATATTGTAGACAGTTTTGAAAAGTGAAAAGGAGACTAGGATAAGTATGTCAGGTGTCAAGTGCTGTCCATTGAGGAACACTCAGGCACCATTGTCCTAGCTCAACCGTTTTTTCTTATTGATAGTGAATGATGATGTTTTCCAAACACACCTTGTATATATCTATATGAATGTGTCTGTAGCCTGACACAATTAACAACTGAATTTTGAGCTGACATTTTCACTGCATAATATTTTGTCATGATATTCACTACTGAATTAAGTGCATTGACATAGAGAGGGATTATGTTAAAGAATATTTGTGTAAAATTTGTTTCTAGTCATTAGGCTAATTGATGTACAAATATACATAGATATAGACACAATGAACAGTGTCCTGGGTATGACTATAAACTACATCCGCATCCTGGGTAAGATGATAAACTACGTCCAACAGCATGACCTCTGATCAGGAAGTTTTGAGGAGCATGGGACCACCTCTTAATTGCTAGTTTTTCCAGGTCCACCCTGACTCAGGGTGGTAGCACCTGTTAGGGGGACCCAGCTATGGATAAATAATTAACCTCCAAAACTGGGGTCAAAACACTATGAAAGTGTAAAAATAGATTTTAATACCAAAAATACTTTGTAAAAAATTATTACCAACAATACATTTTTGAAAAACAAATATTACAAGAAATAGATTTTTGAATGAAAATATATTCCCAGAAATGGATTTGGGGAAAAAAATATTTCTAACAATGAAAATTATGTTGGCATTAAATAAGCCATTGAGGTTGATATGCCGTAAAACAAAACAAACCAGAACACAATGAAGAGTCTAAAGTAAATATTTTAGCAAGATAGATGTGAAAAATAACAATACTTTAGTGAAAAAGAGATGTATGAAATGATTGATTCGTTTGCTATCGCTTATTAACACTTGTAGGTTATTTAAAACCAAGATTATTTTTAGATTGTAAGTAATTTTTTGTTCTCTTTTGGAGATAATAATAATTAACCCATAGCAGAGGGGAGAAGAGGTGGATTCATAACTTTCCCAGTTTATTTACACATGTGAATATAATGTAACCAGTGGAAATTAGAACTCAACTCTCTGATTAACAATCCTGGGCCATTATCCATTGTGTCACCCATATATCCAAGCTTACAGCACCTGATATTCCCAAGTGGTCACCCATCTAAGTACTGACCAGCTCAACATGGCTTAACTTTGGTGATCATACAGGAACCGGTGTTTCAACATGATTTGGCCATAAGCAATATGTATGAAAGAAAAAGAGACAGAGAAGTGTGAAAAAGAGAAGAAAGAGTAACGTATATGTCATTTTGTTTCTTAATTAAAGAGCAGTTTATTTTTATGATTTTTAAGATGAGACAAATGAACAGTCTTGTTTGCTCTTTGTTTCTACTACCATTAAAAAACATAAATAAAAACAATTTTCATACTAATAAGAATATCACTGTGCCAGGAAATTGCACATTCTCTCCCCTTTTTGCTTGTCTATCAGTCTACATTTTTTATTTACTTCTCTCTCTCTGCCTTCCAATTAAAACTTTCTTGGCTCGTGAAAACTCTTAAATCTAAATATTTCTTAAGATTTGCCTCTTCAAGTGTAAAGATAAGTATATTTCCACAGTGCCTCCCGCACCCCCAACTCCTTACTTGCCCCCTCGTGCACTTTGCATCAGGATGGGTGAACAGGTGAATGGGTGTAGGAGGGGGGGGGGAATTGACAAGATGAAATCAGCAAGCAGAAATAATTGAGCTGTACGAAATGTGAAGTAGAATTGAAACTGAAGATGCTTTGGTGAAGGAGGGGTGGGGAATTTGTTTCCCACTGAACAAAATGAAGACGAACTATTCGTCTTATCAACGAAACCCATCCTCGTTTTGAAAACTGTTTAATTACTGGCACGGCTCTCATTTGCAAGAGAGAGAGAGAGAGAGCAAGTAGCAACACCCTTTTTTTTCTTCTTATTTTTTTTCCTGCACCAGATTCAAGATATTTCCTGCTGATGACAGAACTTCTTATCTCAACTTTTATCATCTTAATCAGCCACGGTTTCAAACTGACATTACGATACTTATGTAGGTGTAGGTGTGTGTATTTCTAAATAATTTAAACACAGTGGAAATTTCTTCCTTTTTTCTTTTTTTTTTTTAAATGTTTATTTCTGCATGTTTTAATAAGTGATCGACATAGCACTCTGTATATCTATGTGTCTATCACAAACTGTTCATATCTTTCTAACTTTCACACACATTAATCTCTCTCTCGAGATATGTGTGTGTGTAATGTATTGGACAGGAGATCATTATTCAAACATATATCATTAATTAAATCTAACAAACATTGAATGTCTATTATGTTTGATCATGAGCCATTCTAAGTTTCATATAGTTGCTTTAATTTCATGAGAAAATAAAGGCAAAACCTGTCCAACATTTGGATACTTTTATTATGCTGTTCCTCAATCTAAGGTTTCGGCTCACATGAGCCCTCATCAGAGTGGTTATATGGACATTTACGACCCGCATCTGCTATTCTGCAAATTTCTGTCAACATAACAGGATATCATCTTTGATGGTGAACATCTTTGTTGAAATGTCCATATAACCACTCCAATGATGGCCCCTGTGAGCTGAAAGCTTAGATCGAGGAACAGCAAAATAAAAAAAAATATCCAAATGTTGAACAGTTTCTGTCTTTATTTTCTTTCAAAATTAAAGCAACTATACGAAGCTTAAGGCAGCTCATGATCAGACATAATAGACATTCATTGTCTGTTATATCTAATATATGTTTGAATATATACTAATATAATACAATATGTTTGAATATATACCATATAATTTATATATATATATATATATATACACACAATATCCATACTAGAAAAATGCTGTGATAATCATTGGAAGGATTCCTTGAATACCATTAAATGGTTTCAGAATATAGCCTCTAAGAAAAAGGCGACATTTATTCAATTTGATATAATCAACTTTTACTCCTCCATTTCTGAAAACCTATTATAAAATAGCTTAAATTTTGCTAAAAATTATATTAATATTACCAATGACGAACAAAAGATTATAATGGTTTCTAGAGTGTCTATTTTGATATATAATGACTCCCCTTGGGTTAAAAAGAATAATAAAAATTTCGACATGGCAGCTTATGACAGCACAAATAGCTGATTTAGTGTGTTTATATATATTAGATACTCTGAGTAGGCTCATTGACCCCAAAAACGTAGGCCTGTACAGGGATGATGGACTCATTGTTATACCTAATAGCAATGGTCCTCTAACCATCTCCAAGTTACATAAAAAGTTCATTAAAGCTTTCCAATTTCTAGGATCCAAAACTGATATATGCTCTAACCTAAAAATCAACAATTTCCTGGATGTTACATTCAATCTCTCTAATAATACATTCAAACCCTTCCATAAAGAAAACCAAATGCCCATCGATATCAATGTCCACTCAAACCACTCCAAATCAGTTATAAACCAAATTCCCCAAACTGTCAATACCAAGATAAACAAATTGTCTTCTAGCTGCAAAATATTTAATGAGAAGAAATCTAGCTATAGTCAAGAAACGTATGTTTCAACAAACTTATCAAGAAAAATTGAATGACAATACATCCAATAAATCCAAAAATAGGAAAAGGAAAGTTATGGTTCAACCCTCCCTTCTGCAAACAATCCAATATTGGCAAATTCTTTTTTAAATTTAATAGATAATCATTTTGGTAATAACAATCCACTGGAAAAAAAATTTTAATAGAAAAACTTTGAAAATTAGTTACTCATGTGTTAATAATGTGGAAAAAAATTGTAAATTCACACAATGATAGTCTAATTAGAAAATTTCATAATAATCGATTACAAAGGAATAATTCTACCTGTTATTGCAGGGTAAAAATCGAATGTCCAGTGGGAAGAATTTGTATGACCGAAAATGTGGTGTATGTAATCTTCCCCAAGGAAAATATAAACCTGTAAAAGGTTTATATTGAAATATCTGCTGGGAATTGGAAGCAGCGTCTATATAATCATCACTATTCCTTCAGTAACAAATCCCTTAAACATCAAACAGTGCAGTCTGGGGAGTTAGTTGGCCAGATGTAAGCGGTGATGTGGTCACAGAAATTGTCTAACAGCCCTGACTGGGTTCTCCTGCTTGTGTGGCATGGTGCAGAGTCCTGTTGCCAGACATAGGGTCTTCCATCAGCCACCCTCTTGACCTAGGGCAGCACTACTTCCTCAAGGCACTTGATATAAGCCTCGGTGTTGAGTCTCAGGCCCTGTGGGAAGATGAATTGAGGCATAATGTCGCCATCACTAGTAATCACTCCAAACACCTTCGTAATCACAATTAGACTCATTCAACTCTTTTTGAATCCTCTGCACTTTCCTCATACACACTGAAATGTTCATATTAGAGTTTCTGGCATGAATGCCAAGAAGTACAGCGTGCCATTTCCAAATTTCTGTCAGATTGAATTGTGTCATGGTGCCCCACTGGTTCTAGTATACTATGCAGTCAACAAAATCAGTGACAAAAACATGCATGTGCAAAATTAAAAAGATAAAATGGTGACAATTTACCCATTGCACGCTGTATATTATGAGAGTATACTGAAAAGTTTTCGGCTTGGCCAAGAATTCATTGTCCTGAGAATTTTATCTTTTTCTTCATTAACTAAAAGCAAAGAAAGAAGTCTTAGGAATAAGAAAACACTGTTTTTGTAAGAACAGGCATGAGAATAAACATTTAAATGATTGAATAATGACATCATTTTATGACAGATTTTTTTAATAACACAAGGAATGTTATAAAGCAGATGAGTGAAAAACAAGAAAGTTAAGAATAATTTATGGCCTAACAAGAACATCTTGCAGATATTATCAATTTTTAGATGCGGTCAGCAAGTAAATCAAAATCCTTATGATTTCCTTTAAAAGAAAATCTTTAAAAAAAAATTCTTTGTACCCTACACAAATTATTAAGACCCCCCTCCTAAGTTATATGACCGCTATGGAGTAGTCATTAAACCTGTGTTATTCGTTTTTGTTGACTTTGACTTGAATTAATACTAGATGATTAATCTTGTTTTGCTATGAAATCAAACTGACTTTTGGATGAAAAGGAAGCAGAAAACAAAAAAAACAAAAAAAAAAAAGAATTGAAAAAGATGTTCAGACATAATTTTATGCACTTTGAAGTGAGTTAAACTGTTACAGTCAATGCTTTTCCATCAACATTTCTATCTTGATTTCACTTTTAGCTCAACTGGTTTTTCTTTAATCAACCCTGATTCCTTTTTTGCTAGTTTCCTTCAGACCAATATTTCTATCCATGTACTTCCTATTCACATGTTAATTTTCTCTCTCCCTCTCTCTCTCCATCCATCCATGTGTGCATGTGCATGTATGTATGTATATATATATATATATATATATATATATATATATATATATATATATGCATGTGTTTTTAATAGCTTCCTCTCTTTTGTCTTTTCTTTTCTTGCCCAGTTATCTGAATTATTTGTTGTCTTCTCCCAATGAAACCAGTCAACCAATTTCAAAATAATTGCTTCAAACATAAAATGTTCATGAATTTAAAAAAAATTCTTGTATGCATTATTTATAAAATAATTACAAATAAAATGTTTGTTTTCTAATTTTGTTTTATACAAAACTATTTTATATAATTCATGATATAATTCTAAATAATATAATGTTCCAATCATGGTATTGAATGATTTTTAATAATCAGTTTTGCATAGCATTATTCCCTATGGTTCCATTTGTAACATCTTCATCTGTTTCTTGTTACATCTGGTAATTCTTGCATATTTGATCCCTGCATCACTGTTGGGGTGACTTGCACAGCTTGCCTCATCTGGTAATTCTTGCATAGTGTGGTAATTTTCTAAGAGTAGTATAGATGTGACAAAAGACTGAAAATATCGGGCACCCTGTGAGAATCAAACTCACTATTCAGTTATAATGGATCTGGTGAAACAAAATTTAATCCCGTCATTACTGTTGGTGATTTGTGCAGCCTTCCTCATCTGTTTGCTGCATCTGGTGACTCATGCAGCCTTCCTCATCTGTTTGCTGCATCTGGTGACTCATGCAGCCTTCCTCATCTGTTTGCTGCATCTGGTGACTCATGCAGCCTTCCTCATCTGTTTGCTGCATCTGGTGACTCATGCAGCCTTCCTCATCTGTTTGCTGCATCTGGTGACTTGTGCAGCCTTACCCATCTGTTTGTTTTATCTGGTAATCCTTATACAAAATCTTTTACTTAAGTCTGCAGTTTTGTTTTTGTTTATGTTTTTAATTTAAACAATTGATCTAGGAATTTTGTCTGTTGTTCTGGTGATGCACATTAACTGAAAACAAAAGAAATAAGAAAGAATTGTTATTGAATAATGACGCTGCTTTCTGTCATAATTTCTGAGTAAATTTCAACACTCAATCTGTATGTTGCATATAAAATATTCAAAAGTAAAGAATTGTCTGATTATTGACACATTGGGCTATGGATGTGTCTAATTTTACATTAGGATTGCCTTGTAAAGAAAAAAAGATTTTCATGAGTCAAGAATTAACACCAGTTTAACTGGCGGATGTTTGGTAATGTATTGGATAGTGGCTTGGAATGAGAAGTTGGATAGTTGTGGTTTAATTTTAGTTGAGTTCATTATATTCATTCATTTGGTAAAGGTATGAATCTATCTGTTCTCTCCTTTTTTCCAATTATAAGTAAATAGCAAGACAGAGCCTGCATTGAAATTAGAAAGAAAACTCAAGGCTCCATCAGGCTATCTTGTCCAGGAAGCACCACTGCTGCTGCTGCAGCTGCAGTACATCTACTACACTATGGCCTTAATGAGTTACAGAGCTCATGATCAAAATAAGACTATTAAATGTAGTATATCTCTCTCTCTCTCTCTCTCTCTCTCTATATATATATATATATATATATATATATATATATATATATATATATATATTTTGTGTTTCATTGGTTTCCCAACATATGGTATTTTTCTTTTTGTTATGCAGAGAGATAGTAAAATCACAAGATTAACTAAGTGCTACAAAGGACAAAAAAATAGTGGAGAGCTATAACCGCCCATGTCCTAAAGGTACATAAAAAAAACAAAAACTTTGAAAAGCCCAATCAGTCCCATTGATCGAGAATGCATCAAAGCTATTTTAAGAGGGTCAGCTGAAAAGTTCATAGGCTTACCAAGATACACTCATGGAATGCGAGTAAATAAAATTTATTTTTTAACATAGTCCTCCTTAAGGTCTACACACTTCTATTGGTATTGCAGTATATGGATCCCCTCAGTGAAGAAGCTTTCATCCTGTTTACACTCCTCCCCAGTCCTTTTGGAAAGGAGTAGAGGTTTATCCCTTTTTTCCTTTTCAGGATTGGGTTTCCAGTTATCCTAAAATCTTCTCATTCTCTTTCACTTCATGTATTCTCTTGCATCTTAGTGGCATTATTACCTTGCTTGGTGTGAATTGATTAAAAAAAATTAGAGCAAAATAAAATTTTTAATAGAATGTCATTGCAAAATTATGTTAATATTGTAGTCATTTTTTTATGTTGGCTTAGATATTTAAATAATAATGTTAAATGAATTTTTTCATCAAACTTTTTCATCTTTAAACATCACAGATGATCATAGACTAACCACTAATACAATGTTTTTCACTTAGGGATTTAAATGTCAATTTCTTCTTTGAGTTTACAGCAACCTGAGAGACAAAAGCAAAGAATTCAGCTTTAGGTAGCCATGCCGTCAATTTCAGCTTGAAATTGGTCAAATGCTTTGAAGTCTCTTCAGTTTGGAATTGTATTGGAATTCTCTGGTGAATCATGTTGCAAGGCCATGTTTTTCCATGATATATTTATTGAAATATTCTCAGCAGGGACCTGCTTCATTTTTACCGTGATTCATGTTGGCCATTGGTAAACACCCTCAGAGAAACTGCACATCCTTTTGTTGCCTCTCTCTTCTTTCCCTCAGCGAAGAGTTGTGGAGAGGGAGGAGGTTGATTTCCATTTGCAAGACCCTACTATGTTTGCTGTATGCTGCCAACCATAATATTCAAGGCCCAAATTATTTGCTGGGGACAAGACTGCATGTGTGTACACACAGAGATGACTGAATATGCCAAGCCAGGGGTCAACTTAGTTGGGGTTATAGTGGAGGGAGTATTGCAATATATATGACAAAATGAATTGGTTAATGAGGAAAATTAATTAAAAAATATATATAGTTGTATGGATTTTGTGTCCAGTGGATCCATGTACATGTGGGTAAGATGAATTTTTACAGGCCAGCATTAAACAGACTTGAGTGTGTGCGTACAAACACACACATACACACACACACACATATATATATATATATATATATATATATATATATATATAGTAATGGATTTTTTTTTATTTCCCTCTGACCAGAGAAATGCAGGTTCAAGTCCTGCCAGGGATCCACAAATAATATTTGTCACTTAGATGTTATATTCAGCACCACAACTTTCGCAGACAAACTTTTTCATAATTGTTCAGTCCTCTCATCAGGAGATTTCAGTGATTGGCTGCCAATTTTCTCATTTTAATGCTGAGTTTGGTGTAATTAATTTATATACTAATTGGGATGCTACTGTTATTGGGTTGAGGCTGATTTTTTCTTTGTGTGTGCGTATGCATGTACATGTGTCTATGTATCAAATGTGTTTATTTCTCCTTTTCTTGTTTCCTTACACACTCTCCCTCTCCCTTCTTTTTTTCTTTTCAGCTGTGTGTCAAATAGAAAGTAATAATATCAAGGAGAGAGAGAGAGAGAGGGAGAAAAATGATGGGAGTGCTGATAGTTCTCAGCCTTATTTAGGAATTCCATCCGGCAGCAATCTCTGATCAGGAGATTACAGATTTTGAAGACCATGGAACCACTCTTAATTTCTGTTGTTCCTAGGTCAACCCTGACCCAAGACGAATAGTTAACCCCCAAACAAAAGGAAAAAACGCTATATTTTTTATATAAAAACAATTAACAATGATACGTATTTATAATAAAATTACCAACAATATATATTTAAAGCAAAATGACCAACAATACATTTTATCTGTAGTTGAAGACATACAATTGCATTCAAAATATATTTAGTTGAAGCCATAAATTTGTGTTCAAAATATTTAGATTTAGCTAATAAAGGTTGATGTGCAGACTAAACAAAATTAACCGACCAATCATCTACCATTTATTCAATTGTGAAAGCAGAATAGCATAATATCCTATTTTTATTACTTCAAAGCTCCCAGGAAAATTAAATTTTAGCATTAAATGACCCACAAGGAGCTGATATGTTATTAAACAAACAAATAAATCAATCAATATTAAGGAATTCCAAAACAAGATGGGAATACTTAGTGACATTCTTTATTCCAAGAAGTAACTTCTTTGGACAAATAATGGTCTTATTGAGGGAATCAGTGTTATCAGTAAGGAAAAGAAAAAAGTGGGAATTGGAGAATGTGACATTGAAGCAGTAAAGAAGCAGAAAAGATAAAACATTAAATTTTCATGTTAAATGTGTCAAGGTTTTAACTTAGCTCATCTCATCCAGAGCTTTTTAGTGTATATGTACACCTCACCCCAAATGACACTAATAGTTTGGTAGTGAAATTTTGGATTCCTCTGTTTTCTGTGAATTGATTTTGATAAAACTTTTACCAGCTGGTTTGCACAAATATGGCAACATCATTGTTAGTTTTTCATTATTCTGTGTAACATCCTTTATTTTTTTTATTTTAGATTCGATAGTTTTTGGTTAAACCACACTAATAGCTTTTGAATGAAAATATCCCATCTAGACACTTTTTGGAGAAAATGAAGGATGATGATAAATATTAAGCATACCTTGAGTATCTATTTAACAGAAAACTATATTCATATTACAAGATTTATTGAAATAATGAATTATTTGGCCACTTGGGCACCATTTTGATAGATAATTTCAAAAACTCTATTAGTCATGGACTCTGTCAATTTTTTCTTTTATAGTATCAGGTTTGACTGCCTCTGCTGCAGCTTTGACAGTCACCCATAAGATATCTTTTATTGTAAATTGATGTCCCTTGGCATAAAAATCTTGTTTAGTGATGGACCAATGATTTTTGATAGGTTTGGGATCTGAACAGACTGGCAGCCACACCATAAACCTTTCACCTTGGATGCTATAATGTTTGGGATGTTTGGGTGGCTCTAGCTGAGGGGGAGAGAGAGTTATCATGCATGAATACTAGAATCCTTAGAAGTGACAGGGATCCAAGACCTTTCAGGAGATTGCAGTAGGCAACAGCAGTCTTTTTAACAACTTCAGGCATCCTGACTAGCGAATAAGTCTGCCCCCAATGATACCAGCCTACAAACATGACTCCTCCACCCTGTTGTTGATGTTGTAAACATTAGTAACACTCATCTCCAAAATAGATTCAACCATTTGCCTAACCACCAGGTCCATCAAGGGTTGCCCTCATCTCGTCAGTGAACAGAACACAACTCATGTCCAACATCATGTACTTTCAAGACCACTGAAGAGTCAAATTCCTGTGATGAGGCATTAAAGAGGCAGTTTCTGGGAAGCTCACACAGAAGCCATGGTCTTGTGGATGCGATTTCTGGTGGTTTTTGGTACATGAGGAAGTCCAGCCTTTCATCCTTGATGGAAGGTCCCTCAGGAATTGTCTAACCATGTCCACATGACAACCTAACTTCTCCTCAATGACAAGAAGATAGGTGCCTTTAGCACTTTACTTGATGATAACAGACACATAATCACTGAGTCCTTTTCCATGTCCCATTGTTCTTACAGAAGAGAGACGCTGTTATCAGGGTTCACCTAAAACTATCGAAGCTGAAATAAAAAATAGAGGACATTACATAAAATAATGAAAACCTAACAATGATGTTGCCATATTTGTGCAAACCAGCTGGAAAATGTTTTACCAAAATCAATTCACAGAAAACCGAGTAATCTTAAATTTCAATGCCAAGCTATTTGTGTGGTTTGGGTTGTATATATAACAATATTTGGGTGATACTGAAAAAAATTCCCTAACTTGATCAGTTTTAAAGAAGGATGTCTTCTTGTTTAGGACAATAACTTTTCAGCATCTCTTCATGTATTTGTATGTACATATAAACATG